TGATGCATATTTTGGTTGTTTCCAAGATGTGGCTATCACAAATTGTGCTGCTATAAACATAGGCACACATATATCCCTATGATATGATGTTTTCAGATCCGCCAGGAAAATTCCCAGTAGAGGAATAGCTGGTTTAAGTGGGATTTCCAGTCCAAGTTTTCTAAGCAGTATCCACAGGGATTTCCAAAATGGTTGCACCAGTTTACATTCCCACCAACAGTGGAGAAGGGTTCCTTTTCCCCCACAACCTCTCCAATATTTGCTGTCATGTGATATCTTTATGATAGCCATTATTTGAGATGATATCTCAATGTTGTTTTAATTTGTATTTCACGGATAGCTAGTGTTCTGGAGCATTTTTTCATATATTTATTTGCTTCTTTAATTTCTTCCTCTGAGAAGTGTGTGTTTATCTCCGATGCCCATTTCTGGACTGGGTCTTTAAATTTTGGGGCCCTAGTGTTTCTTAGTTCTTTATAAATTCTAGAGAGCAGACCTTTTTATGAGTACTTGTTTGTCATAAATATTTCCAAGTTTGTGAGTTGTCTTTTCACTTTGTTGGTAATATTTTTTGATGTGAAGAAACTTCTCAGTAAGAGCAGGTACCAGTTGTTTATTTTTTCAAGTGTTTCCTGTGTAATTTGATTTTTGTTCATGAAGTCTTTGCCTACCCCTATGTCTTCAAGATTTTCTCCTACTTTCTCTTCCAGGAGATTTAGTGTCTCTGTTTTTATGTTTAGATCTTTATTCCATTTTGACTTTAGCTTAGTGCATGGTAATAGACCTGGTTCAAGTTTTAGTTTTTGGCATGGAGAGAGCCAGTTTTTCCAGCACCGTTTGTTAAAGAGGCTATCTTTCTTCCAGTGAGTATGTTTGGCCCCTTTGCTGAGTGTGTTCATCAGGGCTTCAGCATCTTCTAATCTATTCCATTGATCCTCAGGTCTATTTTGTTGCCAGTATCATGCAAATTTTATCACAGTAGCCTTGTAGTATAATTTCAAGTCAGGTATTGTAATGCCTCCTGCTTTTTTTTTTTCTTTTTCTTTTTTTGCGCGGACCCGTGCATTGAACTCAGGCCCTTGTGCTTGCCAGGGAAGCTCATATTCCATTGAGCCATCTCCCTGGCCCCTTTCTCCTGCCTTATTTTTATTGCCCAGGATTGCCTCTGCTATTCTAGGTCCTTTCTGGTTCCAAATAAATTTTAGGAATGATTTCTCTAGCTCTGTAAGGTGTGTTGGTGGTAGTTTGATAGGGATTGCATTAGATCTGTACAGCAATTTTGGGAGTATGGCCAT